AGGGATTTTCTGGCCACGGGCGATAGAATTCATGGTATCGATGGTAGAGATACCCGTCTGTATCATTTCTTCGGGATATATACGAGAATAGGGGTTAATGGGGGAGCCTACATATCAATGTAAGTGAAAGGAAAGTACTGAGAAAGGATGTTTTCGCACCATTGATATCAAGATAATCCTCGGCGAACACTTTGGGCCCATTATCAATTGGGTTACCAGAGCCGTTGAAAATCCGACCAAGCATGTCTTCTGCTACAGGTAGCTTCATGCTGCTTCCGGTGAACTCGACATGTGTAGCTTTGACATCAACTCCAGAAGTTCCCTCGAAGACCTGAACAATAGCTTTCTTTCCCTGGACCTCAAGCACTTGGCCTCCTCGTTTGCTTCCATCTGGAAGGGTGAGTTGTACAATTTCGTTGTATGAAGGAAACTGAGTATTTGGGTGGATGATGAGCAACAAATCTGTGGATCCAGAGAATTTCTACAGACCTTGACGTTGTCTAAAACAACCAGTGGCCTAAGACGGATATCATCAAAACTTTTTTTACCGTGACAAACCAGTCATGCCCACCCGTTGATTGCAGACACAGTACGATAGTCTATCGCAAACATTAGTCGCTGAATATACTAAAGAGAAAACTACAGACCAAGATGAGGTTGTACGCGGTATTCTCTAGTCACCGCTGCAGCATTGATGGCAGCCATTTCCTTGTCGCTCAGACGAGGATCGTTGCCCATTTTCGACGATTATTGATGAACAGCGTTCTGAGCGTTATGGTACAAGATTCACAAACCGCTCTAGTTGAAACGTAAAGCGATCCAGCGTCATAGAACGTGATACGGTCCGCCGACCCTTTGCCATTCTTGCTCAGTCTTTCGCTTTTCCTCTCGTCGACTGCAGAGTCCATCACAAAGCTTAGTTGATTTGGTCCGCTTTCCGCACCTCCGCCCTTAGTAGTACTATGAGTTCCACTGTATAAGTGATCACAGTATATATCAAGTCTACTATTTGCAACTTGGAATCCTAATATGTAGTAGGTAGGTTAACCGGCGTAGTCCGTTCCGTAGACCAAATGATATGATAACTTTGAGGTTTTTGAGTCAAGAGAGAAGCGTCTAGTTAAGCCTTTGAGGACCGAATATACTGGCTGGCAGCCTGCACCGCAGGTACTTATGAGGATTTTCACCATCCATAGAAACCGAGAGGTGTACAGAACTTGAAGAAGCATCAATTTGGGTATCTGAACTACAGTGAAATTCTCAAAGGAGTTCAGATTCGTCTATCCTTATACAACACATCACCTTTCATAACTTAAGTACGCTCAAGTAACCTAAAACTGACACCGTCGTCATAATGCGGTTCAAACTAATAACTCACTGTGAGAGTTGGGTACGTGGCTAGCAGTCGACGAGACCGCCCAAAATAGCTAGCTGTCGTTGGTGATCGTTTGCATGTACCCCAAGAGCCAACCAACATCTCTGGCTGAAATCTGTCCTAATTCCATACCTTTCTGGCTCTGCTTTCGTCCAACGTTCTCAATAAGCATAACCCATTTACCTGTTCAGAGAAGATGGAGCGACAATCAACTACAATTGGTAGGCGCAAAACCTATGATATAGACCATCAACACAATATCATACAGTCGAGTGGTGAGTAGCGGGTTTCACAGGGTCTGAAACTCCAAAGATTACACATCAAAAGGGACTATGTACATTGCATTCTCGAGCGCCGGTCACGCAGGCGGGGGCGGTGGGGGCGGAGCCTGAGCTTCAGGCGGAGGAGGAGGCGGAGGTGCTCCAGTTGAAGATGGATCGCTGCCAGGTGCAGCAGCTTCAAATCCTTGCGCTGCTTGCTGGGCATAGTACTGTCCATACTGCGCACCATACTGCTCTGCCTGTTTGGCCTGCTCTGCAACCCAAGCTTTGAATTCGGGTGAGTTTACATCATATCCGTACGCAGCCCTGCAGGAAGTTGATTGGAGAGTAGATCTTGAAAACAACGGAAACTTACCAATAAGCAGCATATTGCTCTGCACTAGCCGCTGCAGGGGCAGCTCCCATACCCGACGCATCGGGTGGTGGAGGTTGACCTTCGCCACCCGGAGGCGGAGGCGGGGCATCACCAGGTGGCGGAGGTGCATATTCACCGTATCCAGCTGGGGCTCCAGGTTGACCAGGCATGCCTCCGTAACCACCTTGAACTGAGGCAGCGTAGGCAGCGTATTGTTGCTGTGCCTGATGAAAGGTAATTAGTACGTGGACAGATTGCTAGGTCCTCAACGCAGTAAGCTCACTTGATGCAGTTCCATCTGCTGGGCCTGTACAACAGCTTGCATTTTCGCATGTTCTGCACGGACGACCAGTAGTAGATCGTCGGTAAGAACTTTTGCTCGCGCTACTTGTGATTCTTCTGGGCCACTAGAAGCGAGAAATTATGAGTCAGTTGACAACACTAATGAGCCAACGCAGAAAATTCGGAGGGCCATCGAAGGGAATAAAGCTCACGTTATGTGTATATACAGCGGCTCGTCACTTTCCTGACCTGTCTCCTGTTCTACGAAGCCTGATCCAACGCCCTTGATCTGTACACGAGTCCCAGTTTCCTGTTGGATGTATTTCACGAAAGTGCCCTATGTAACGCGTTAATAGATAGAACAAAATTAGGATCTCGAAACTCACACTAGGTCCGACAACCTTTGCCCTAACATTAAAGTTCCGTATGCTCTCCAAGCCCACAGGCATCTTTTCCTCTGGCCATTTCCTTCGCCCAGCACCCCTGTCCTTCTTATCTTCAACCAAACTACCCATATCAATCGCTAACAACTCTTCAACTTTTTGTATGGCTTTATTAAGAACTTCTTTGGTCGGAGCCATAATATGCAGATACAAAGGTGGGTCTTTTTCTGTAGCTCGTGAACGAGTAGGATGCCATGTTCCTTTTGTTGATATTGATGCACCAGTTTGTTCTTGGATCTACAATAGCTGTAGTTACAAAGATGTAGGCAAAAGAAGCAAGCATTTACCTCTTGTTGTGTTGAGCTTTTACACAACATGTACCTATTTCTTGCATCGTTAATATCGATATCATGGGTAAACGCTGCGTCGTTGAGGCCAGTTCCACCCATTCCACCGCCTGAAGCAAATTGAGCAGCGATTTTTGCAGCGATAGCTGCCGCAGCCGCAGCGGCCTCGGAGGCCTGTTTTGACGAGGACCCGCCGGCTGCAGGTGGTGTTGGGTCCGACATGGCGAGAGAGAGGACTAGGTTAAAATATATTGTCACGGAGGTCGCGTCACCTGTCAGTCACGCAGAGTCGGTCCGCCGTGACCCGCTCGATAAAGTTAGCGCCCAAGAACAATAATGGTTCTCTACGAGTCTGATCGTTCGTTCTTTCTTTCTTTTTCTCAATCGCCACGAGCAAGCCCGGACGAAAAATCGAAGATCCTTATCCATAACCAACCTTATTCTCCTGCGTGACTGGTTGATTCACAACGATATAACTCATTGTTTCACAATGGTCCACATTGATGACAACTACCCTACTCCAACCTCTGCGGCACAAAAAGCTACATTGAAGCATCTTGTCAAGCCATATCCTTCCTCTGATTTGGCAGATACAAACCATTCGAAAATCTCACAAGGAATACTCGACACTAACCTTCATCTCGGCTATCTCGGCCGACATCTCCTCCAAGGGCTTCCTGCCCGCTATGTTTCTCAAGATGCATCTCAGCCATGGCTCTTATTCTGGAGTCTGCAGAGTCTAAGTTTGCTAAAAGTAGAACTCGACGAAGGGAATAAAAAAAGAGTTGGAGACACTGTCATTAGTATGCAGGTAGATCAAACAATTCATTGTTCAGTTCAAATCGTTTATGCTTTTTTTCCAAAGGATACCTCCGCAGGAGGCTTTGGTGGAGGACCAGGCCAGGCTGCACATCTTCTTCCGACTTATGCGGCAGTTTGTGCCCTAGCTATCGCCGGTTCCCCGTCCCATTTTGCACAGATCGATCGCGCCGCGTTATATCGCTTTTACCTTTCCCTCAAGGAACCTGATGGATCCTTCAGAGTATCCGCAAATGGGGAAGTAGATGTACGCGGTGTGTATTGCTTGCTTTCCACTGCAAAATTAACTGGAATAATAACGCCGGAGCTGGTCAAAGGGACCAAAGAGTGGATCCAGGCATGCCAGACTTATGAAGGTGGTTTCGCAAGTGGTGCTCTCGGTGTTGGGCATGGATCACAAAGTGCCCCTTTGGGAGAGGCCCATGGAGGCTATACATTTTGTGCTCTCGCCGCTTGGGTATTGCTCGAAGCTGAATTTCCTTCCTCGCCTTCTGATCCAAAACTCAACTTGGGGTCGCTTCGTCGGTGGCTCGTCAACATGCAGGGATCTGAAGATGAGCTATATGGCTTCCGCGGACGGACGAACAAACTCGTTGATGGGTGTTACTCGTGGTGGGTTGGTGGATGTTTTCCATTGCTTGATACCCTCGACAGATTGGATGGGAGGGTCCAAGCAGACGCGGAGCTAGAGGAACAAATATGGAATCCAGAAGGTCTAAAAGAGTACATTTTATTTGCTGCCCAACATTCGGCAGGCGGACTCAGGGATAAACCACCGAAGTAAGTGATTCAGCTGAGGTGTTTTAGATTATGGATACTCAAGGATCCACTTGAATAGGACATCGGATCTCTATCACACGCTATACTGTCTCGCTGGGCTATCGGCTGCCGAGTATTCCATCCAGTCCTTCTCTTCAACTCCCCAGTCTTCAGCCTTGAATGCAACTGACCCTCTGTTTAACTTGACTCGCACGCATGCAGAGGGAATGATAGAATATTTCCGGAGCGGTGAGAGGAAAGAATTCAGATAGCTCATATGATGCGTGGATACAAGTAGAACGAGCAATGTCGAGCGTTATCATATAATACATGTAAAGAAATTTTCCAACGTGCTACTTGTGGTCGTCACTTGATAGCAATTACCTGCAGTCTAAGTATGCATTAATGGGGTAGTGGTAACCTGGGTCGTTGCCACGTGCTTATGCTCGACCCGCCGGGGGTTCGATTCCCTCTTAATGCAATGTGCCAATCTCTTTTGTGCTTTTTGTTTAATTACCAATGAAGATTTAGTATTTCCACAAAAATTGAATAAAACGTAGCAGCATCTCTCATTGTTTACTATTCTGAGTTAACTAGAAGCTTAGTGTGTAGTTCCCTTTGAAGACCACTGCTTCTGAAGTCACTGGGCTTAGAGTCGGCATGATGGTCGACTTGGATTCAGTCACCCTTGAGCCTATTAACCGCTGACTGAAGGATCCTTAGTGACGATAAACTATTGTAACACGTCTGCCACCATCTCCAAAATCTCCTTAATACTCTTCCCATTGTTCTTTAAATCCTTCGCTATTGCCTGCCATACAAGCCCATGATGGGGTTCAGCAGCTAGACATTTAATGCGCACTTCTTCCCGATGTTCCTAAAAAAGGTCAATGATGAGGACGAATACACCACATGATAACGCGATCCTGACCTCCGTCCCATGTTGCCGCTCAAACTTCAGCCACCACCCCCAGAGATCACCAATGTCCGCACCAGTGTCCACGGAATCGTCAGGCCGAGGGGGAACAGCTCTTTGGAACCACTGCCGCGCCTTTTCGATTTTCCGTTCAGTCCAGAATAGGCGCGCAACGGTACAAATGATCAAAGGATTATCATTGCTCTTTTTCAGCGCGTCGAGTGCCCGCGTCTTTCGCTGAGGACGAGGCTCCAACCAAATCGACATTGTCCATAAGAGACCGGACGTTGGACAATCTTGTAGCGCTCGAGCAAGCATGGCTTTCGCCTGCGCTGCACCACCGGAACGTTCCTCGACACCAACAGCTTCGGCCCAGATAAGTTCGTGAGAAGGATTGACCTGACGAGCTTTTTCCAGTAATGCACGAGCTTTGATACTCTTCCCATCCGCTTCTTCAAGACGACTGGCAAGAATCCACAAGGTAGGCTCTTTGGGACATATCTTGAACCCTGCGGCGAACGATGCTCGAGCGGCAGAAAACTTATTCTGAGATTGATATATCTGCCCTTGGATCATGTAGAATTTCGCAAACTTGGGGAACTTTTTGAGCGCGGTATCCAGCGTTTCCAACGCAGCGTCGAGTTGGCCTTGCTGTCGCTCAAACGTAGCAGATTTCATCCAAATCTACAAAATAAAATTCAGGGTATGAACGTGTCGTTGACCAAGAAACATACCCTTTCAGTATCAGCCGTGATTCTTGCTCGAATCAGAAGTTCTCTTGCAACATCGAGATGACCGTTTTCCGCCTCCAATTTCACGGCGGCTAACCAAATCTGCTCGCTTTCCTTGTTGGCATCAAAGGCAGTGGCGAGCACGTCCCTCGCACCCTGGACGTTACCCGCAAGCCAGCGTTCCTTGGCTGCCATAAGCCACAGTACTTCCGCCTGAGGGCAGTGCTTCACAGCTTCGGTTAGAATAGTATCAAGACTCTCACTAGTTCCATGAGCCTTCTCCAACCCTGCCGCCCGTATCCAGAGGTTTTTCTTGTCAGGAAAAACTTTCAGCGCATACGCCAGCACCGCCCTAGCCGTCCCGACCATATTCCTGCTCAGCGCGCCCTCGGCATCATCAATCCATGTGTCTAAACGATCTTCTTCTTCCACATCCATCACGATAGTAGCTTTCACGATGGCATCCGAAGTCAGAACACTGCCCTGCGTTTCGCACTTTTCCGCCTCCTTCAGCCACTGCTCGCGAGTGAGTAATACACCATGTCGCCGTAACTCGCGTACTCCAGCCTCGATAGTCTTGTCCACCAGATCCAGTGCCTTTTTCTTATCGGCTTCAGCCTTTTCGGGGCCCATCAGCGACGCCTCCTGCTCCAAAAGTCTTCCGGCTGCGATCCAAATTTCATGTGAGGTAGGAATAGCTTTACGGGCCTTGTTAAGGACGGCTTTCGCTTTGTCAAGAGTTTCTAACTGAGCGAGAGCAAGCCATAGTTCGACTGAAAGCGGGATGACTTCCACAGCACGGGATAAAAGTACTCGGGCGTCAGAAGGTGAGGTCTCAAGGTTGACAGTCTCTTTCCAAAGTCGAACTGAGTTAGGAATATGCTCCAGGGCTGTTATGAAAACAACATCAGTGAAGAAAATGATTATTATAGTAGGAAAATATACCCTTTCGAAGTACTCGACGCTTGGCCTTGACATCATGTTCGAGATCTGCAGCAGCTAGCCAGATCTTCACACTTTGCCCAACGTGTTGAACGGCGTTGGCGAATATCACTTTAGCGTCTTCGTTGTTCTAGAGGAGAAAAATCAGATACTTTTTGAAGCCACAAAAAGATGGAATACATACATGTAACCGAGCAGCTTCCAACCAGACGTCTTCGCTCTTTGAACACTGTTCACACCCCTGCTTGATCAATTTCCGAGCAGCTACCATACGGCCAGCATGCTCTTCCAAACAAGCAGCAGCGATCCATCCTGGTGCATGTTTTGGATTTGATTTGATTAGAGAGTCAAAGAGCATACGTGCTCGCTTGATATCACCGATTTCAGCATCAGACTTTAGTATAACGCTGTTGAGTGAAGTAAGATATCCCTTGGGATCCACGGATGTGGAAAGACCAGAAGTCGTGGATGTGCCAGATACCTGTTGAGACGGATTAGAAGGAAAGTTTGAACGCCTCCGTCTACTCACCTGGTCAAGTTTAAGCGACAAGATTTTGTCTCGAGCTTGACCTATTTCAACGAAATTGGTTGGCCCCGAGTCAGCAGATGTCATAAGTCCACCAGCCTAGACAGAAAATCATATTAGTCAGAAGATGAAACAGTGGATGTCCTGCGCACCTGCTGCTGCATCGGATCCAAAGAGTTTTCATACTCTCCTCTAGCCCGGTCACCGACAAGGATACTATCAGATACGGCATAGGACCTCTCGTACTTTGGCCGTTTCTTTTTGGTGAGATTTCCGACTTCCGGTATGCTCTCCCACTCCTCATCGGTGACAGCAGAAAGCCCTCTTTTCAAGTCGGCGAATTGCTGCTGGATTTTAGGCCTTTCCGCACGATGTTTCGCTAGTTGTTCTTGCTCTTGAGCCTCCCTGGATAGTAAAAGAGAAACGATGAAAGAAATGTCGGAAAAGAGATGCATCAACTAACCGAGAAGAGCACACACCTGCGTGCCTTACGTCGCGCATCCATGGCTGCATCAACAGCCTCATATATCTTATCCGCTTCTTCATCATCCTGTTCATATGCAGTTCCAGCAAAAAGACCGTATTCATTGTCTGGGTCTTGAAATTGTTCTGGATCAACTTCGGCTTCCTCTCCTCGTTTGGCTTGGGCCTCGCTGAAAGATGTAGATTAGGATAAAAAGTTCTGAGACTTGTGAATAATTACGCACGCAATCACTTCTGCTGAAGGGCCCTCACGGGCTGGGCCGATATCTGAACGGGTGGTGAAACCCGAAGCACTAAAAATTTGTGAAAATCTTATAGATTCTATCCAGAGTTCACTTACCCACGACCAAGACCTGCAACATAGGATGCAGGCGCTGGCATCGACAGGAATGCCAGCTTGTTCGTTTTGTTGTTTGCAGCCATAACTGATGAAGGTACTTCGCAAGGTACAAGTACCAAGTGAGGAATTAGCGCCTTTCGGCAATTCAACCGGCATTTTTTTCCACTTTCCCCTCATGCGCAAACAACTTGACCCTCGCATACCTATTCTTGTCAATAATAATGTTGCAAAAAATCATCGGTCATTCATCGTGCTTGTAGGAGACAAAGGCCGGGACCAAATCGTCAACTTGCATTTCTTGCTCTCTCAGGCAAGAGTGAGTGCTCGGCCTTCTGTACTATGGTGTTATAAGAAAGATTTGGGCTTCACGACGTGAGTTTTTTTGGATCCTAGAGTCTATGCTTCACTCTCATCTCCCTTCCCTTCAGTCACCGCAAGAAACGAGAAGCCAAGATAAAACGCGATGTAAAGCGCGGAATCCGTGAACCAAATGACCAGGATCCTTTTGAAATTTTCGTCACTGTGACAGACATCCGCTACAACTACTACAAAGAATCTCATAAAATTCTGGGTCATACCTATGGAATGCTTGTGCTGCAGGATTTCGAAGCCCTCACTCCAAATCTCCTCGCACGGACGGTAGAAACAGTAGAAGGCGGTGGACTTGTAGTTTTGCTTTTGAAAACTATGAACAGTTTAAGACAACTGTATACCATGGGAATGGATGTCCATGCTCGGTACAGGACAGAATCTAGTGGCGAAGTGAAACCGAGGTTCAATGAACGATTTATCCTATCTCTCGCTGCATGTCCTGACTGTCTGTTCCTCGATGACGAATTGAATGTGCTTCCGATATCTAAAGGGAAGGATATCGAACCTCTACAGGAGCAGAGTGGGAAAGGAACAACCAAAATTCAGGAGGATCTGGAACTGAAAGAACTTAAGAGCTCGCTCGAAGGGACTGTTCCTGCCGGACCTCTAGTTGCATTAGCAAAAACGACAGATCAAGCTCGAGCATTGCTCACTTTTGTCAATTCCCTGATCACTTCGTCCGATCCATCTTCATCTTCCAACCCTCGTCATCCCTTTCATCCGCTCTAAATACCACGACTACTCTTCTCGCTGCTCGGGGTCGAGGAAAATCATCCGCCCTCGGTCTTGCTTTGGCCGCTGCGGTTCATGCAGGATATGCCAACATTTTTATCACTTCTCCAGCTCCAGATAACCTTCAAACGGCTTGGGAGTTCCTTTTTAAAGGTCTCGATGCCCTTGGCTGGGAGGAACATCTAGATTATGACATTCTCCAGGCAGCAAACGATCTCTCTTCATTTGGGAATGGGGCAGATGAAGCAGCCGAAAGTGGGCCCGCTCATGGAAAGGGAGATGGAGGGAAGAAACCCATTGTCCGGGTAAACATTTTCCGTAACCCTACGCATCGTCAGACCATTCAGTACATCGATCCTCGAGACGCTCATGTCCTAGGACAAGCGGAACTTCTTATCATTGATGAAGCTGCTGCTATCCCACTTACTGTTGTCCGCAA